TGGTTTTCCAGTTTCTTCAATTCATCGGCTCTTTGAGCATAGTATGCTGAGTCTTTGATTTTGGTTTTGTTTTTGGCTCGACATTCTCTGGCATAGTGATTTGTTCCTTTGCAGTTGTGACAAATGATCACTTCTTCATCACTATCATCCTTTTGACTTTTAATCGGAAGTCTTTCAGGTGTTTGACTTTGGGTTTGTTGGGAAGGTTGAGAATGGTTTTGTTGGAATCCAAAATTTTGGTTGTTTTGAAAACCATTGTTTTGATTGTTGTAACCTTGATTTTGGAAACCTCTGTTTTGATTTTGAAAACTGTTGTTTGGATTGTGATTATGACCTGAGTTGGGATCGTTTTGAAATCCCTGGTTTTGAAAACCTTGGTTTGAGTTATTTTGGAAAGAAGGTCTTTGAGAATTTTGTCCAAAGTAAGGTCTAGGTTGAAAACCTGAGTTGTTTTGACCAAAAGATGGTCTTGGTTGAAAACTTGAGTTATTTTGTCCAAAAGATGGTCTTGGTTGAAAATTTGGTCTAAAATTTGATTGACCATGATTTGGGATAAATCTCTGGAGATTTGTGTTTGCAACCAACGCACACAGTTGTTGATAATCTGCTTCATCATTGAATCAGACTGGAAGGCTTGGTTTTGAAAAGATGTAGTCTGATTAAAATGATTAAAGTTTTGATCATTGAAAGGTGTTTGGTTTTGAGAAGTTGTGGACACAAGTGCAAGTGGTCCTCCAAAAGCTGCAGTGGTTGGTGGGTCAATCGAGGATTCATACGATTGAAGTTCTCCATACAAGTTGTACAAAGTTTCAGTATGAATAGCTGGATTTCCCTGAATAATGAGTTTAACCATTTTCCAGCTTTCGAAAAGATTGTTTAAAAACTTGAGATTTATCTCGTGTTGTGTCTTTTTGATACCCAAATTGTTCATTTTAACCATAATCAAATTGAACCTATCATGAGCATCATGGATGGTTTCTGATGAAAGCATTTTGAAATTATCGAATTCATTCAAAACAGATGTTCTTTTGTTTCCGATAATTCTTTTATTTCCACAAAAACGATTTTTCAAATTCTCCCAAATTTGATTTGCGGTTAACAGTATAATGTCATCCATTTGACTTAGAATACTGTGAGGTATTCCAGAAACAAGTTCCTTTTTGGCTTGGAGTTCCAACTTTTTTGTAATTTCAACTTGAGTGGCTTGATTTGTAGCAAGAGTAGCCATATTTTCTGGAGTAACATATGTTCCTTCTACACACTTCCAGACATCTTCATTTATAGCATTAAGATGAAGATTCATACGGCCAACCCACGAATTATACTCTTCAGGAATAAGTATGGGTGCCCGTGAACCAGATCCTAAGCTATTTGCAATGGAGACAGAGTTCATGTTGGAGTAATTTGCCAAAGACATTTTTTTTTGAAAGGATTTTGAACAAGTGATATTAAAATGAAATTTTTAAAGAAAAGCTTATGGAAGGTTTATAAACGCTATAACCAAAAGTTTTTCGACAAAAATTTCAAGGTAAATCACACAAGCTCTGATACCAATTGTTGGATATTATTCCTTTTATATATCAGCTCAGATACCGATTTGTTGGAAATATAACAATCTGATCACCACAACAAAAGGCTCGGTTACCAGTTACTGTGTGACAGATATATCAGTTTAATATATAAGATATATATATATATATATATATATATATATATATATATATATATATATATATATATAAAGAATAATAATTGCGGAATAAGTATAAATATGAAAGCTATAAATGACTGAAAGCTATAATAATATAAATGACGTATTTAAATGACGTAAAGCTATAAATAATATAAATGACTGTATTTAAATGACGTAAAGCTATAAATAATATAAATGACTGTATTTAAATGACTATATTTAAATGACATAAAGCTATAATAAAGTATATAAATATATAAATATATATCAAGTAGGTTCGTCAATAAATTGACTGAACTGGACTTATGGAGCGACTGGTCGATATTTGTTCTTTGAATGGACTGGTCGATATTGGGACTCTTGGAGCGACTGGTCGATATTTGTTCAAAGATCAATCCGGCATTGGATAAGTAACAAAAAGTTCATTTAAAGCTCGATTTTATGTAAAACAAGTGTTTACAAAAGGGTACAAAATACATGGGTTTATGTATTTGTAGTTGAAGTATTTTTGGGTAAAAACATGCACACGGGTCGTGTAAGATAAGGCACAAGTGACACGGGTCGTGTAGGAGGGTTTTGGAGGGTTTTCTTGAAGAATGATGCTGACACGGGGCGTGTTGATTTAGCCTTGCTGAACACGGGGCGTGTTCATGATGCTGATGCTGACACGGGGCGTGTTGATTTAGCCTTGCTGAACACGGGGCGTGTTGAGGTTCAGAAGTATGAAGAAGGCAATCAGAGGGCAACACGGGGCGTGTTGATTTTGCCTTGGTTTTTAACACGGGGCGTGTTCGTGTCAGAGTCAATTTCGGGATTTTTGTGATTTGAAGGTAAGTTTTGTTTGTGATGTTTTGGCTAGGGTAATGGTGTTATGGTGTTTTGAGGATGTTTTCAAGGTTGTTTAGAGGTTGGAAGGAGGTTTATATAAGGTGGTAAAGGTGGTGAAATTTCTCATGAAGATGATGATGAATAGTGATGGGTTTTGTGGTTGATCTTGATGCAGAAGGTTTTGGGTTGTTTCATGGTTGTGTTTTGGTGTTTTGATGTAAGGAAAGTGTTTGGTGGTGTATGATGTGATGATCAAAGGTGGTGAAGATGAAAAACCTTTAGTTTCAATGAAGAAGATGAAGATGGTTGATGGTGTTCTTCATTTAGCTTCTTGTTTGATCTTGGTGTTCTTCACTTGGCTTCTTGTTTGATCTTGGTGTTCTTCATTTAGCTCCAGGGATTTGTCTTTGTTCTTGAGGAGGATGAAGATTTGTGATGTTCTTGGGAGAGTTTGTAGTTTGTAGAAGTGTTACAATATTACAAATGAACACACACACACTACATACTCAAGTATACATATATGAGAGAAACAAATATCTTCTTCACTTGAGTGTATTTTGAAAGTAAGTGGCTGGTGTATGCAAGTTGATGTAGAGTAGTAGGAGCAAAAAACGTGGGAAGGGTTTGGCTTCTTCATTTTTGACTTTTGTTGACTTCCTTCTTTGTTTGACTATTCAACATATATACAATATATATATATATATATATATATATATATATATATAGTACATATATACATATATAATACATACATATGTATATAATACATATATATATATATATATATATATATATATATATATATATATATATTGTTGAAACTGTTTAGTCACACATATGTGTTTTCATCATTCGCATGTTTTCGTATTTTCCGTTTTATCACGCATTCATGCAACCTGAAATAACTGATAATATTTGTTAGATTGTATAAAAACAGTTCATCTTATTTCAGTTATGGTCACATACAAGGTTACATAAGAACATTTTTCAACACTCTTAGGAATAAGTAGTAATTAAAGACTGTCATGGAGTTTTAGTTGATGGACAATGGATATTAGACATGACAAGGTGATGTGACTAACACACATGAGTACTTAAATGAAGATTTTGGTACTGTAAACACAAACTTAGAGATTCTACTACATAGATTCTGATGAGTCAAGAATTCATTGAAGTTATGATTTTGTAAATTAAATGAACAATATAGTTAAATAAATTTCCTTTAGCTCATTAATTCTAAGAATGTAGGATAGTTACAGAGTACAATGAATAAATTTTGCAAAGAAAAACACCTATAACCTATGCTACAACACTATTTATAGTGCTATCAATAGACAAAAAATATACATAGAGGCTTCGATATCTTAGTATTACAACAGATTTGATCTTTGAAATACATAGATATACCGAAAGTTCATAACCTTTGATATAGAAGAGTACACAACCTTCAACATTGTAACCATCAGACTTTGATAAAGTATCTTTACAACAAATTGTACTCTATGTTCTCCTCATTTGTAAACAGATTTTATGTCCTCAAACAGAAGGTAGTATTTTCATCGCTTCTAGCAGCATATTTCTTATCTCCAAATACCAACTAACTATCTTCCTTATTTCATGTCTATTTGCATATAAATTCTTCTTGCACTATGCAAATCTTAGTAGGATGTTGGTCTAATTTGTTGTCGAATACATGTCTCTCATATCAGTTTAAAAGAAATGCTTATTTTTTCTCCCCATTTACTTTCTTTCCTTGGAAAACAACTCCTAAAAGTTTCAGTATAATCTCCCCATCATCAAATTACTCCACATCCACACCATCAATTATTGAATTCAGATTCGTCCTAAGCTTATTTTACGTTTTAGCCATCTCAAACTTAGAGAAACCAAGATAGGCTATATAACAATCTATGAAATTCTTAACAAGAGCAGATCCCACAACATCCGCTCTCTTATCATTAAATTGCTTATCAAATGTTGTTTTGATCTTATATTCAAAGGTGATAAGATCATTTAGATTCATCAAACAGAAATCAGAGATAGTAAACTCACACAAACTATGATCAACTCTAATGACCGTATATCAATAGTTTTAAATGAGATTCTCAAACATGTCATCCTTTGATATGGATACTAGCTTGAAGATATTTTTCAAGGACCATATATCCTCTTCTTTCATCCAGAGCACTGGATGAAACCTTATCTTGACATAGTTGAAGTTTTCATCTTCATGGAAATTATTAGCAAGCTTGAATTGTGCAAAAAGTGAACATCCCTGAAATGATAGGAAAATCCAACTATTTATCTTATGTATTCTTAATAGCATAAATCTCCTTAAGCATTTTCTTAAAATCATCTACATCTCCAAATGCTACATACTTCATAGCCTTCATGTCTTGTTGAATGCACCCTTGCTCATTCTTGGAGGATCATTCTCCCTTTTCCTCAAAAAGTTGTTTAAGTGCTTCAACTTCTTTATTTATATTTCTTTCATCCTATTTTTCTCTTTGTTAGATGGCTGAAGCCCTTTTCTTTTATCTTTGGTTAGTACAGTTATTTTAGGCTTGACTGTCAAAGATCCACCTTCATTGATGTTTATGGCATTCTCCAACTTAAGCTTAGATACATCAACTTCGACATGAATAGTAGACACTGTTGTTGCCATTTTGTGAGCTAGTTTGGTAGAAATTGGAGTAGAAATTTCATAAAAAAGACCATACCACAACTTTCCCTTTATCTTCACATCTGACCTTCGAAAAACTACCATTTTCTCCTCCTTGTGACACTTGCATCGCACATGGAGCATTTGAAGGAAGTTAAAGTACCAAATCAAGAAATAGTGCAAGTTAGGATTTAAAAAAAGCTTTGAAAGAAGAGACAACATTAGTAACATGCTCGGTAGACGTCTAAGATGTTGAGTTCGATGTAACCTTAGAGATTTGTTCTTGAAACGTATTTTGAGAAGTCTTAATTCCCTTGAACAATGTATAATCAATTTCATTATTCTTATCTAGTTCACATTTATATTCTACATTGAAGGCTTAAATATCTTCAGCTAGAGTTCTTATAGCTTATAGCAAATAGTAAAAGCTCTTTTGCACACTCAAAAACAACCCATCGATCTTCATAACTTTAGATTTGATAAGATCATTCACCTTTTGAACTTTCAGTGAAATTTTTATTTCATAAAATCTAACAAACTCTTTTTAGTAAGTTCATACATCTCCCTAGCAGTTGTTTGTACTCCAAAATATCGAACGTGAATGACTTTAAGTTGTTCTCAATTCTATCGTGAATATCAGCAAAAATGTGCTTTACCATTCCCTTAATCCTCGACTCTTAAGATCGCAATACTGAAGCCACCTCTTCTCTACTAATAGTCGAAGAGTTTTTGGCATCAGAATAATTGAAGAACTATAAAATCATGTTGATGTTAAGATTCAGGATTTTGTATTATTCTCCTTAAATAAAAGCTTTGTCTTCAATATCCTCCTCATCAGGATCAAATGTAAGCTCTCCAAAACCAAAAACTTCCGCATCCTCATCATCGTCCATATTCCGAGAAGCATCCTTGCCTTTTGATGGGCTTTGAGCATAACAAACAATTCCTATGTGTGCATGCAACCCTAATATCTTGCATCTATGTTTTCTTTAATTGAACATACAACTATTTAACATCAAAAGGAAAAACCCTAGGAGGTATATGTTGTTTTCAAAATTCATAAAACTAGGGTTAGAATACATACCTTAATTATTATGTTGGAATAATAATGAATTCCTTGAAGATCTTGCACATTTGACAACAAGTGTCACAAGTGTCACACCTCTAGTAGATCACTCCCAAAGCTTAGCAAGAGAATGAGAGAGGATAGAGGAAGAGGGAGCTTGAAATTTCGGCTATCCTTCAAGGGATTATATGGTGGGCGAAATTAAGAAGGGGTGAAGCCTTTTATATAGTGAGATAGCTTTGAGCCAAAGCTAGGGTTTTAGGAGGAAACCCTAATGGTAACATCCTGACTCCCAGGTATTATACTTATTATTCATTTTTTGGGGAATTAATGAGTGACTGAGCGAGTTGTTTGTTCGACTCGCCGAGTAGAGTTGGATTTGAGCACACGGGTTAAATAACCCACTCGATGAGTCAAAAATGTCGACTCTCCGAGTTAGCGTTGTGTGAGGAAACCCTAAATCCCCTGGTTTGGGGCGTATTTAAGGAAACTTATGTCATCATTTCCGCCTCACCAGCTACCCTAGTCCCCTGTGTGAAACCCTAATCGTTTGTAGTGAGCTAAGAGAGTTATAAAGCTAATATTTGAGTTTTTATTGCATATTTTGAAGAGAAGAGAAGAATTTCAAGAAAGGAACAAGAAGGGGCTTTTAGATCCATTGCTATTTCATCCAGAGCTTCTGTGAAAGGTAAAAAGTCCACACCTTTCACATTATGTTGGTTAGATCTCATGTTTATGGAGTTTAGGGGTTTTTCCATATATTATTTGGAATTTGAGTGTATTGAGTCCATCTAGAGATTTGGACTTCAGATCTGGACCTTGTGAGGTCCTTAAAGTCCGAAGGTCCTAGCTTTATTCAACCATAATAGAGCTTTTGAGTGAAAAACCCTTAATGGACCATGTTTTGGTATTTCAAGCCCTAAGTGACATACATCGACATAAAGCTTGTGGCTTTATGTGATCTTTGAGCCTTAGGAGGTTAGATATTGAGTTTGAGGTTGCTTTTTACCTTAAAAACATCTGAATGAGAAAAGAGTCTAAAAGGACTCGACGATTCAGTGAGGTGACTCGACAAGTCAGATAAGGTTGTCCCGACGGATGTGACCATGCAGTAACTTGGCGAGTTGATGGGTCAATTCGAACAATGGAGTTGGACTTTTGTGAGATTCTATGAATATCGATAGGACTCAACAAGTCACATATATGCACTCAACGTTTTAATATATGTCATTGTGATTTCTGTTGTGTATTATTCTAAGCTATTGAGTTAGGACCGGAGGGTTCACCCAAGTTGTAGGACCAGAGGGTCCCACTAAGACACATTGACTGGAGGGTCATATTGAGTTATAGCCTCGAGTGGCTAATAAGTTGTGTGTGGTATTTTGGAGAACTTACTAAGCTTTGTGCTTACCATGTTGTGTGTTATGTGTTATAGGTACTTCTCAGGACCGTGGGAAGGCGCCGACGTGAGTTTACACACTTGTTCGAGATTATGTTGTGGATTATGGGATTTGACTTTTTTTTTTTGTGAATTTATGTTGACATTTGAGACAATTATGGTTTTTATGAAATATAATATATGAGTTTTATGTGTTTTAAAAATAAAAAAACTTGGTTTGAAAATTGATGGTGTTACACTAATTCCCTTAGCTTAAGGACTAAGTAGCCAAAGAACTCCCATCCAACAGGCCTTGGATGAAAATTCTAGGGCCTTCCTAGAAGTTTTAATCTATCCCTTCTAGGGAGGTTCTAGAGACCAATTCCTCATCTATCAATAAATTGACAAATAATCGTTGCACTTTTAATTAATACAATTAATCCCAAAATTAATTCCAATTAATTTCTGACTAACTATTAATTAAATAATATGATTTACGCTTAATATATTTTTCATAATACATTAATAAGTCATTTATTTCAATTTATTATTCAAATAACAAATTTAACCTCTCTCAAAAAGTCAAGATGTCTAGCTGCTAGTTATGAGGGCAACCCAAAAGGACAGTGCTACTATCAATTCAAGTATGTACCAATTATAGTTATGGGCTTAGACACCTAATCCAACAGTCTACCACTTGGATAAGTATAATCACTATAGTTAACAACATAACTTCAAAAACTGATTAGCAAATTGTAGCTCTCAAAGTCACTGTCAAACTTTAACCTAGTTAGTTACGTGTCCTAAGATAAGTGATCATATAATCCTCCGATCTGCAAGATATCATGTGGAAAAATGATGTGGAACAAAATCAATCTCATTATCTAACACTTTGTTTCCCTATTTATAATTTGTAATGAGAAAGAACTACTAATTGAACACATTAATTTAGTCTTGGTCGGGCCCAACATTATAAGTTAATACGAAATCGTTAAGGGGCCCCAAGATATTGCTTTCCTAGTCAGGGAAAAGGAATAGATAAACATTTACTTATATATTTTCATTATTTACTCATCAAATCATTCATAACAATATGTTTTCTAACATCAAGTCACTGATGTGTTTACACATTGTCAATGCCAAACCATCTTGTAAACAGTGACTCATATATCTTCGTTTCATGATTATAATTTATTATCATCTCAGAATTTCTCATCATAAATTCCATGAAGTAATTCTCTGAGTGTGGGTTAGTCCAATACTGAAAATCCCTATTTTCAAGTACTCGTGAATGTTGCAACAAACCATTTCTATGTCTAAGCCCTTAGATAATCTGCAACCTAATTCATGACAACCTTAATTCACTACTTAGTTCCAAAACTATGATCGACTGTGGATGTTTGAATAATACAATTATTCGGGAAGTAAAACATGCAAAATGTAACATAATAATAAAAAATTGACAAAAGATAGTAAACAACACTCATATTAGTTCTCCATTACATAATCATCAAATGTCAATTACATTTACTTTGTTACAAGTTTCTAAATATCTATCTAACCACTAAAACTAATATCATCTTTCAGACCAATGCTCCTTGCTTGTTAAATGTGTTTAACCGTACTCAGACCCTTTGTGAGGGGATCTACAAGATTCTCTTCTGATGATACCCTCTTCACGATGAGATGTACTTCTTCTACTCTATGTCTGATAAAATGATATTTTCTATGGGTATGTCAAGCTTTGCCATGATTTGTTGGTTCCTTTGTCCAAGCAACCGCTCCTTCATTATCAAGAAAATCTCCATTGGATCCTTTATCATTGACACAACTCAAAGTCTCTGATGAAGTTCTTTAACCTTATAGCTTCTTTCGATGCTTCACTTACAGCTATATACTCTGATTCACATGTAGAATCAGCCATTTTCTCTGTCTATCTAAAAGTCGGCATCACTATACCCAGTTACTATTAAGTTATCACTACCACAAAGCACAAGGACCTAGTCCTTAGTTCTTTGTATATACTTAAGAATATTCTTAACCGCGGTCCAATGAGCTCTACATGGATTTCCCTGATATCGAATAACGATGCTCAAAGCAAAAACCATGTCAGGGTACATGTCATACCATACAAGATTGATCCAACTGCAGAAGCATATGGAACTCGACTCATTTATGCTATCTCTACATTAGTACTCAAACTCTAAGTCTTACTCAGTTTAGTATTACTCTAGACAGGCAACTCTCCTGTAACACTCTTAATTTCCAAGCAACATTTTCATTTTAAATCACATAAAATGTGTAACAACCCGAAATTCATATCCTTAATTGTAACCCTTTTCGCGACTCGTTCTGATCATCCAATCGCCGTTTCCGATTTCGTTTCCGTTTCCGACCTTTTATTAAGTCATTAATGTGAATTTTATTTTATGACTTAATAAGTGTCTTAATACCCTTAGAACTCATTCTAACGTCTCATATTAATGATCGGAACATTTTTAGAACCAACCATATCGGGTTACGGCAAATTGGTCGGGTGCGACCAAAAGCCCTGTCTAACGCTGGTATCGGGTAGAATTCTACCATGTCCCGAACTTGGACACTATTTAAAGTGATTCAAGTCTCCATTTTGAAGCTTTTGCTCCATGTTACAACTATCACTCCAACCTCTCTCCTCAAACTAGATTTTAGGGTCAAACT